AATACCGGTGTAATCGGGTGTTGGTATGACTTTTGTCGCAGACTTTGTATGAGTATATTATTGAAGCCATTTGTGACATACGTTTCAATTTCCATAATCTCGTGGTTTAGCGCATCGTCGCTGATGTCCAAAGTGCTGTCAATTAGGTTATCGATCTCTTGACAGTAAATCTCATGGTTTCTGTCATAAAGTGTCTGTTCATTTGGGGGCCAGTCGGTGGTCGACGAGACCATACGTTTGTATCTCTCATACAATTGTTTTCGTTTGCGTTTATTTTCTCTAATCAATTGCTTTCTCAGTTTATTTTCCTCATCACTCCGTATGAATTCCTGTTGAAAAGCATAATACAAATAATTTATATCACTTTTTAAATTGTACCTGAATACAAGTATATTATACATGTTATTTGTTTTAAAACTACCTTTTTCATGCCAATAGCCAAACATTTATTAAGCCTACACTTTTGACATAATGCTCGCGACTGGACATCAATATCGCAATCACCATCCGATGGACACTCCAGTTCCTGGTGAGATAAAAATTATAATAATATAATGAAAATTAATTCATGTGATTGTCATGTTTTACAATATTTTTATTTGCAGTCCGTCTAAAAAATGCTTTGCACGATTCGCAAGCTATGGCCCCAAAGTTTCTGGCTAGATTTATTTTTCAAAATATTTTTATTAGTTAAATAACTATAATTAACAAAAATCGACGTACCTAATGCGATATCACCACACACATCACATATTTTATCCACTTTCTTGCTCATTTTTAAGTGTTATACTATATTTTTTTATAAAAACAATTCCTTTTATATGATAGTCTTTCCCAAACTTATCAATTAGACTATAATTGTTTATATAATTATCAATAAATTTAATATTCATTAAATATAATTGTACTCAAATTACTTAAATGTGTAGTTTTCAATAATTTCTACAATGTTATAGTTAATAATAGTATCACAATAATCATAGTGCAATAAAGGTGCACGAAATATTAATATCTATAGTTACAGATAGCTTATAATTATTATCACTTTTTGAGTACAATTATTA